TTTTTTTTTTTTTTTTTTTCCAAAAATTTTTTTTTTTTTTTTTTTTTTTTAAACCAGGCTTTCTGGGATGTCTCCCATCCTGCCAGGCGAGCAATCAGGGCCTGGGCTACCTGGGTGCGACTATCTTTCCTGGGGGAGCAGGGCGGGGGGAATTCTTTCTCCCTTCCGAATCCGGTGGACCGCTAGTGGGATCTGCCCATCTGCACCTGAGCTGACGTTACTTCAAGTGGGGAATCCCTCCGGTGCCTGCCTGAGAGCGCGAGGCGACAGGGCCGCGGCGAGGTCCACCGGGGGCCGGGGGGCGTTGCAAGCGCCCTCCAGACTCCTCTCCCCCGGCGAGCTGGGCGCGCAGCAACCATGAACTCTCCCCTCGGAATCCCGCCACTCTCCTGCCAACTTCCACTCCAGCCCGGGGGAAAAGCTGAGATTTGGGGTATAATCGATGCTATTTCCCTCCTGGGCGGGCACCGAGGCCAGCCCACAGCTGGAAGCTGGCCTGGGTCCCAGAGAGGCAGAGCAATTTGGACCCGGGGGGCGGGGGGCAGGCTGCTGCCCAGAGGCCTGGGAGAAAGTAGGGCTCGGAGTGGAGCTGTTCCGCATCGGGAGGGGTCCGCCCGGCATTCTGGACAACACCCGCNCCCAACCCCACATTCGGTGTCCGCGAACAGGGGGCGTCCGCTGGTGGCCGCGGTCCAGCAGCCTCGCTCGGGCGGCCCCCGCGCCCACCTCCAGCCTCCCGCGTGCAGGGCGGGCTTCGGAGACCGCAGCAAAGGGTCCCGGGGAACCCAGCTCGCTCCTCCGGCTGCACACCGCCGGGCCGCGCGCGGGCGCAGGGCTCCCTCGCCCCTGCTCCGCCAACTCCAGCAGCTCGCTCTGCACGTATGATGTAACCCTGCATGAGATCAAACTTTCTGGCACCTTGAGCCCACCCAGGGGTGGAGGAGGTGGGAGAATCTTCTCCACTGCCAAGTGCGCCGGGACCAGACTGACCCAGGGGCCAGATAATTTCCTTGCAGTTAAAGAGGAAAATAACCGAAAGCTTCCGCTTCCCAGCCCCCCGCACTTCCCCCCAGCCCGCGCGCTCTTTGAGCGCACCGAGAAAAGAAAAGGAAAAAAATTTTGAAAAAAACAACAAAAAACTTTGGAGATGTTTGGCGGGTTTCCCTGCCATCCCTGCGCACCCACGCTCGAGGCTGGAGCTCCTGGCGGCGCGCGCCCGAGGCTGCCGGTGCCCAAGCCCTGCGCGGGTATCGGGATGCTGGCCACCCCGCCCCGGCGGGTAAGCAGGGAAGAGCCTCGACTACCCGGCTCCAGTCTTTCCCGAGTCTCCTCGCTCTCTGCAGAGGCGGCCGGGCTGGTTAGACCCGGGGACTCCCGTGGGCGCCCGGCCTCTCCTTGGTGGCTTAACAAAGG